TCAGAGCTGCCCGCTTTGTTGCCATTTCTGCACAGTGCTGGGGGCACAGAGCAGCCCGGCATCAGCTTTCACTCATGGCCAGCCATGAGATTTACATCTGGCCTAAGAGAAACAGAAAGCTAAAGCATGAAGCCAACGGGTCATTGAAGCACGAGGTTTAGCTTACTCTGGAGACTTCCCAGATAGAACAGGCTTTTCTACCTTGACGTTCTGAAATTTATATTAGATCTAAAAAAAAGTTATTATATTCAGAATTACATGAATTGGCAGCCAGGGAACAGATAATGTCATTTCCAAAAGCCTCACAGTGATGACTTGTAGCAGATTTCAGGAACTCTTTGTCACAATGAAGTTTATTCCGTTCCTTGGAAACACTGAACACATTCCTCCAATAATGAAACACCTTATAAACGCCGTGTGACAGCACCGTGGAGTTTAACAATGCATTTCCTTCCAGCATCATAACATTTAGGGTCCCAACTGGATTTAATCATCAATAACTAACCACACAGAATGAGAAGGCAGAGACTGGCAAGCTCACCTGGTGCAGGCAGAGCAACAGACCCGAACACGAGCAGCATCAGCCTCCAGTGCTTTACTCCCACGGCCTCCTACCTAATGCTTGTCAAGCAGCTTCAAGCAGTCAGGGTGTCTCAAGATGACATTTCTAACATTAAATACAGTCTTCAGCACAGCCCTGCATGACAGGAGCGATTCTTGTTGCTCACTGGGAAGTCATTCCTATTTCGGACAACATATTTTGACACGTTGCCAATAGCACTGCATTACACCACTGCTGGGGAGACTTCCTCAGCTATAACTGGAATTCAGCACTTTCTGTCCAAGCAAGTGAGGCCAGTGTTTAATTAGATCGCTTTTCCCGAGCCACACTGGATTCAGCTTGCTGTAACAGAGCTGGATTTAGCCACAGAGCAGCATTTGGGAGTATCTGCTCCTTACCAAGCCAAACAAGCACAATGTTGTAACTTCAGAGCGGTCCGCTGGTTTGGACTCATTTCACATCAACACTTTTATCCAGCAAGGACGCTTATTTCCAAAGCAATATCCTTTAAATAGGAACAAACATTCAGCACAGAAATTCCGACATCGCAGAATTTTGTTTTAAATCCCAGCCACCTCAGAGCTGCACCCTGATCACTTTCAACACTTCACCGTGACAAAGTCCAGAAGGAACACACGTTGTCAAGGGACATCACAACAACGCCAAAGCCTGCAGAAAAGGGCGGCCAAAAGGGAAAATGAACGCAACTCACAAATACCAAAATTGCACAAGCTTGTAACAGGGCGAAAACGCAGAGCCAAGCAGGACTAGAGAGGCACTGAGCATCACGTGCTCTATTCAGAGTAGAAATAAACGTGCTATTCTGAACACTACCAAGTTTATTTTCAGAAAATCTACAGCAAAGATTGAAATAGCAGTGATATATATATATATGAAGATGTAATGATGGCAGAAACTTTTTGGACAATCCCTCATCCCCAAGTTTGGAGAGGAAAAATATAAGGAAAGCATCCAACTGAGGGAAGATACCTCTCAGAAGAGGAAGCCTTTTCATACCACCTTTACATCAAGGTTTTCACAGTTAAGTTATTCTGCCAGCAGCTGGACAAAAGACGCCCATTTACTTGGATAAAGATGCCAGAAATCTGCCCACTTACTCAGACAACAAAACCCTAAGCAACCCATGGAATGTTTCTCCACGCTGTGTAATTTAAAGAAAGCAATGCTCAGATTTGAGGTGGAGTTTTGAAGTCTCTCTTAACCCACAGCCCAAGGTTAGGGGTGTATTAACATCCCTATTTTCGCACTTGGAGAAGAGTGTGAGATGCAGAATCAAATCAAGTTATCAGCATAAATGTTAAATACTTTGCAAAAACCATCATTAAACACCTGAAAACTCACACCCTGAGAAAAGAAAGCGAATGCAAAACATGCTGAACATCTGAGTCACTCACACTGAAACTGCCCGAGCTCGCTGTGAGTTCAGCGGTCTTCGGAGGCCACAGGACAAAAAGGCACCAGTTTGGTGCTGAGCAGCCGTTTTCATTACACACTAACAGCACAGATTACACGCTTTGCAGCCAGGAAGTTGATCACAAGTCAGCTACAGCCTCAGCAAAGTCTTCATCACATCAAATCCCTGCCCTGAGAACTTCATGTTTTTCTTGCACAGCTTGCATCTGGGAAGCAGCAAAATGGATGGGCAAATAAATTCAACTCCTTCTACTAGTACTTCTCCCAGCCAGTGAAGAGCTCTTGCAGGACTGTGTTTTCTGCAGGACAAGGGCACCCTGCACATACAAGTTACATCTGCTGTGGCTTCCTTGCAGATGCTTCAAGGCTCACTGATACCTTTCCTTCTCATTGCAACTGCAAAGTGATCAACTAAAAAACAAAAGCCTGCTTTATTAATTACTTCTGACCAGAAACCGGTAGTGCCACTGATGAGAGGGCACACGCCCCACAGCCAAAGCCTCCAGGTATCTGGCGCCTCGGCAGCAAGCAAGTTAAGTTCCCAAGCATCACAACAGGCAGCCACAACCTTTACCATTTGATAACAAGAACCAAAGTGAGATACACATGGACCGGCCACTCAGTACTAGACTGGAACAAGTGAATCACAGGGCTGCAACCAAGGATCTGCAGCAGGATCCTGAGCCAACGTGACTCCAGAAAAGGTTTAGTGAACCAGAAAAGCAACAGCAGCAATCTTGGGTGGGAGCCAAAAGAAAGAAATATACAGAACAGAGCCCTGGAAGATTTCACAGCAAGCAAGAGAAGTGAGGATGAGCAAATACTGAAGCACTAACTGAATTAGGTCCACTTACCTCCAGACGGACAAGAAGTAGAAGTAAGGTGCCATTTCAAAGGAGTTTGGAACAACTGAATGTTTTTCTACCCTCTTCCGATGCATCGTGGTGCCTAAGCTGACGTTAGGTCCCAGGTTTACTCGTGACATTCTAAACAAATTGACTTTGTTCACTCTTCTAAACCAGAAATAACTACAGCAAATCCAACAGCAAGATCTACAGCTGCAGCCAAGGCAGTTCTGCAGATCAGCTACGTTCTGCAGAATCCCACAGAGCCAGCTGCGGCAGGGTCACGCCTCCCCGGGTACAAAAAGAAAAGGGTCCTTTCACCTTTATCGACTTCTGGTCACTAGTTCTGCTATACTGAGGCCAAGCACTCAAGTTGTACAGCTCAGGGGCAGCATAAAGAAGAAGAGAAACCACAGGCCAGAAAACAGGAGCTTGTTTAATAAGTCAGCTCCTAAAGAACCCGCAGGTGAATCCACCAGACTTAGGAAACACACGAACAGGATCCTGCTCAGCACTCCTCACTGGGAGAACATTTCCATCACTTCACTTAAGCAAACGCAGGTCAAACGGTTGCGCCTGTCCAACACAGCTCGTGATTATCACAGCCTTACTCATTAAATAGTCACCACCTTAATCACTACCTCAGTGCGAAAAACTTCAAGTTACCAAATGTTTGCATGTCTGCTTCCTGTTTGCAAGTCTTCATTTCCCTACATTAAGATCAATAACACGTCAGGATCCTGGGAGCACAGAAATATCCATCCACGACCAGGAGATCTTCCTTAGCTGCACGCTGGCAATCGGCAAGAGTCTCTACACAGTCCCACGCACACACAGCTATTATTAAAGTTATGAACTTTGACTTCGGAAGTGCCGTTTACCAATTTCCTACGTGAGCACCGGGGCTGTTGTTTGCACCAAGCTCCCATAAACTCGCTTTACAGCACGTAACACTTTAAAGCCGTTAAAGCAGCCGCACGCCGGGCAGCACCACTCGCCGGAGCAGCTCGCATTTAGCACTGGAAGCGCCCGGTTTGGGGGCGCCGCGGCCGCGAGTTAACACGGCGAATTCGATCCCCCCCCCCATACCGCTCCGCACCACATTCCTGGACAAGGAGCAGCGCCGGCAATCCGCTCGCCGGGCCTGCGAGCAACACCGCGTCAACCCGAACAAAAGGAAAGCGCAGGAAAAGCGGACGGCCGCAGAGAGCTGCGTGCGCCGGGGAGGCGTGCCGGGCCCGGAGTCTCGCATTTCTCCCCAGCGCGGGGCTCCGCAGCCGGGCCGGTTTTACCGTAAGGCAGCGACGCCGTTTGTCTCAACTCAACGCCTAAAGCCAAGCGCCCAGAAATAGGGCTAGAAGTAGGAACTCGGAGGGGCCGCCGGCACCCCAACCGCCCGGGCGGCGGGGCGGAGGGCCGGAGCCGCGTTCCACCGCCCGCAACCGCCGCTCGGCCCCGGCGCCCGCCCGCAGCGCCCCGACGGAGCGGAGCCGCACCTGGATGACTTCGTTGACCTCGCGGATGCACTCCACCATGTGCTGCAGGATCTGCTCTGCCGTCAGCACCTCGTAGCGGTAGTCCTCCTCCTGCTCGGGGCCGCCGCCGCCGCCGGGGCCCGGCCCGCCGCCCAGCCCTCCGCCGCCGCCCGGGCCCAGCCCGCCCGTCTCGCCGCCCAGCAGCCCGTCCCGCTCGCCGCCGACGCGCAGGCCGGGCTCCACCAGCTCCACCTCGCCCAGGTCCAGGTTATCGTCGGGCTCGTCCTCTTCGTCGTCCTCGTCGTCCTCCTCCGCGCCGCTGTCCTCGCTGCACTCCTCGTCCTCGTCGAACTCGTAGTTGTAGCCCTCGTCCGAGTCCATGGCGAGGCGGTGAACTGGAGGCTCCCGCCCGCCCCCCACCCTCACTCCCGGCCCCGCCGCGCCTCGGCCGCCTCAGCGCCAACAAAGAGACGCGGCCGACCCGCTCCGTCACCGCGCGCCGCGCACGCACGGTACGTCACGGCACGGAGCGTGACGTGCTGCGGCGTGACGCGCCGCGCGTGCGCGGCGGCCGCCATCTCCCTTCGCCCCGCCGGGAGCCATCTTGAGCCGCCCCGCTCGCCTCTTCCCGCCCGCCGCCGCCATCTTGGGTGTGGCGCGCCGCCATGTTGAGTGTGGCGTTAGGCCGCCTCGGCCCGCGGGGCGGGCGGGTTGGCGGTGTGCGCGCTGCCGTTGTGCGGGATGAGTAGGAGGGATGTGAGGGAATGTGGGGGACGTAGGTAAAGAAATGAGAGGGGAGCGGGAAGGTAAAATTGGAGGGAAGTGGCAAAAAAAAAAGGGGGGAATGTGAGGGAAATAGAGACGGCAGAGTAGAGAAATGTGAGGGAAAGAAACAAGGACAGAAATGCGAGAGAAAAAAATGAGGAAATAGGGAAATGTGAGGGGAATGTGAGGAAATTGCTGGGAAATGTGAGAAAAGATGGGGAAGTAGGAAAGTGGGAAGGAAAGAAATGAGAGAAACAGGAATGCAATATGTGAGGGGAATGTGAAGGAAAGTACAACAGAAATAGCAGAAATAATGAGGGACTGTGAGGGAAATGGAAAGAAATGTGAGGGAAACATGAATGAAAATAGGAGGAAATAGGAAAATGAGAAGGAAGGAAATGTGAAGGGAATGATGGAAATATGAGGTGAATGAGGAAAATGTGAGGGAAGCTTGAAGGAATTGGCGAACTGGAGGAAAATGTGAAGGAAGTAGAATTATGAATGGAAAAAAAAGTGGAAATGGAAATTTGAAGGAAATAAACCAAGGAATGTGAAGAAAAGCGGTAAGGGAATTGACAGGGAAATTTGGGAGACAACATATGGAAATTAAATAAAATGAGAAGGAAAGAAACTAGAAATGTGAAGGAAATGACAGAAAAATGTTAGGGCAACAATATAAATGTGAGGAAAATGAAGGTATGAGGCAAATGTGAAGGAAAGAACTGTGAATGAAATGCGATGGGAAGATACAAGGAAAATGATGGAAACATGAGAGGAATGTGAGGGAAATGATAAGGGAATGTGAGAAAATGAAAGGGAATTATAAGGAAGATGTGAGGGAAAATATGTTCAGTGATGTGCTAGCACCAAAACGGATGTGCAAGGCTTTGCCCTGGCCGTGCAGGCTGGGGGCAGCGCCTCACAAGCAAGATCTATCAGACCTATCTATCTCTGTGTTTCAGAAGGCCATCTCCAGTGTCCCAGGAAGGGATTGGATATCAGGATTGCGAGCAGTGGGTTTCTGTGCACAGACGATGTTTTCCAAGGAGAGCAGATCTACACATACCTCCCAAGGAAAACTGATTTGGCATGGGCCATGCAGGTAATTCTGCCTTTGGGGAAGACCACAAAGCAGCAGACAGCGTTCAAATGCTGAACAGCAATACCTCCCTGTGGGCTCAGGGATAGGCAGTGTTTCTGACATGTTTTTCACTGGTTCCCAGCCATGAAGCCTTGTGTGACCCCAGCCGTGCCAGGTGCCTCTGTGCTCCGTCTGGTCAGCAGAGATAAAAATACCCAGTTTTTCACAGTTGTGCTGGGCTAGATTGCCTTTCTCCAGTGGGCTGCATAACCCCCCAAAAAATCTCACAGGATAGGTGCTATAAAAAGAGGCAGCATCACATAGTGCCTTGTCACTGTTTATTATTGAATCTGGCATTTTGCAGGAGACAGAGTATGCACTAGTGCCTTTGTCACATGGTCACAAACAGACCTTTTGCAAACAGCAAATGGTATTCTAGAGTGCTCTGGGCAGGTCAGGGACCTGGGGCTGCAGCTCCCAGGTGGCTCCGTCCTTTGCAGGGTCTCTCTTGGACACTCACAGGGTAGATACAGACACCAAGATGGTTCCCAGGATGCTAGGATGCTGCAGGAGTTGAGCATCCTTCAGATCTTGCAGCACCCTGACCGCTCAGCTTGCCCACAACCTGTGGGCTTTCTCCAGACCTCTCCATTTCCGATATCAGACGTGCTGAGCCTGGTACAGCTGAGGGATGGGGGAGGCGAGCTGGGCTTATTGTTTGCAGCCGTTTGGGGAGCGCAAGGGACTCTGGTTGGCTTGGTAACAGGCTGCAGCCTGGCCCAGAGGAGAGCCAGCTGATCCCATATCCTCCACTGCTATTCACTGCGGATGTGAGGAGACTGTGCTGCCCCAGGAGGACTCCAGGGCCACCTTTTGCCCTCCACAGCAATAATCTTCTGCTTCCTCTTAGCCTGGGGAATTATTTCTACCTGGGTGACGCTGTTCATTCTGATGTGGTAACATTATTCACCCTCTTTGCCTGAAGGCAAATGACCCGTGCCCTGAGGGCGGGGGATACTCAGCCTCACCATACACAGCGTAGGTGTGATGAGTTTCATCAGCTCTTACGGGCAGGAGTCATTGCAGCACTTTGTGCGGCACCTGGCACAACAGGATCCTACTTCCTGCTTGTGCTTCCACCATCTTTATGCAGCACAAACAATAAATACCTTGTGAAACAGACAGAGGCACGTGCAGAAAATGAGATGCTTATTTTCTGCTGGAGCTCATAAAGCATAATGATAGCCACAGTGTCAGGGACTTCAGTTCAGGGTAACGCAGGTAGATGTCCCTGGGGATCCAAGCAGGTTAGGTGTTTGATTTCCTAGGAGAATCTCTCTGGAAACCTTTCTGGGTACCAGTCTACAGCTTCGGATATACAAGCAGTGCCAAAAATCAGCCCTGTGTGTTTTGTAGCATCACAGCTGCTCCCAATGAGTTCACTGCCCAGTGTCCTCCCCAGACAGATGTGCAAAGCCCTGCAAATACCCCTCTCATGCCAAGGCTCTGTTCTCTTCCTAGAACCCATGGGCACCCAGGGGAAGGAGAAGGTGCTTGGCAGTGCAAAATGATGGCTACCTTGCGCCAGGAAGGCAGGAGGGGCAACACCTGCATTTGGGGACCCTGCCAAATCCCTGTGTTCCATCCAAGAGCATCATGCTGGTGGCCTGCTGTCCCTGAGCTGCCCTGAGATGGCCAGGTCAGGAGTGCATCGCAGTGACACATGTGGGTGCACTTGTGACTGGGGAGATATTTGGGCTGGACATATACATTCCCTTATGCCAAGCTACTAGTAAACAAAGTCAGCTCCCTAATTATCTGACTTATTTGGAATGGCAAAGGCCTGGGCATTAATCATCCTGTCCTACATAAGTATAAATAGCTTTGTTTAGCTCCAGACTTACCAGCTGGACATTTGCCAGGCTGGTGCCACCTCATGTGTCAAGTGACAGTGGCTTGGTTGGTTGTCTCACATCCGCTCCCACTATGTGTCTCCAGGACCCTCTGTGCCAGGCAGTGGCTGGCTGCCCAGCTCTGCCTGTGTCCTGGCAGAGAAGGGTCACAGAGCAGTGGTGTGTCCCCAGGGTGACTGTCACCCCAGGGGCTCAGTGTCCTATCCAGCTGGTGACATGAGTCCTTGCCTACATGTAAGCAAGTATATGAACCCCAAGGAGCTGAGAAAGGTGCTTGAGTGGTAGGATTTTGCTTTGCCAGAGCTTTGGAACTTCCTCGGGGCCACACTTGGATGCGGATCCAACCCGTAGCCAGAGGTGACCTTTCTCTCCGGGACGGGGTTACCCAGGTGTCATAATTTGTTTTTTCCTCCTGTTGCTAGGGAGGGCCCTGCGCCCGGGCGCGCAGCCCTGCAGCCACCCGAGCATCCTCGCTGCGAGTGTCGGCGTGCCCCGAGCTGCGAGTGCCTCCTCGCTGCCCTCTCCTGGCCCCTGTCGACGCTGCAGAGGTCGGAGCCTCCTCGCTGCCCTACGCCCCTTCTGTTTCGTGCAGTTCTTCGAGGTACGGTCACTGTCGTACCCTGAATGGGAACGACGCCTTCCACCGGAACATCGGGAACAGGGCGAATCTCACTGCATCACACAACAGAGCCATTTAGAAATGCCTTTACATTTTCTTGCACATAGATATATCAAGGAAGGCAGGTTGACTTCCTGCTCACAGTGTGCCAGTTAATCTCCAGGCATTAATGAAACTTCACCTTTTGGCGAGGACTGTCAGTCACAGCAGCTCCCCACACCTGCAGCACACACGCTCTTGTTGCCTTCCCCCTCCTACCCAGCAGAGGGTTGATGTCAGACAATTGTTGCCTTTCAAACTCTATTGATTCCTTTTTTACAACAGGTTCCAGTGACAAACATTTATAAACAGTGATGGGATCTTCTCTGTGCAGTGAAGAATGCCAACACACAAATGTGGTTCTCCTTTGGTCCCAGCCTTCTTCCTTGGCACAATACCAATCAACACTTTGCTGATTACTGATAATTTTGCTCGTTGTGCCCAGAGCTGCATGTGTCAGTTTGTGTTAGTGACAAAACTGGTCTGTTTTGTCCAAAACAAAACAAATTTAAAACACTAACACATTCCTCTTAAAAGCATTCACTGGTGTGAAATTTTAGTCCTGCTTTTTGCAAAAGTTACAAAGTTTCTGACTCAATCGTCACTGCGGAGCCCTGGGTTCCCACTTTCCCCTTGTACTGTCTGTGAATGGTACCCACAAGAAGCTGCTGCTTCAGTTCATTATGAGGGGATCTGTGCTGCCTCGGGGAATTTTAAGACTCCAACTACCGAGGAAAGTTGAAAACTGCTGTTCTACTTGGTCTGAAAAATGATTTAGATCTCCATAGGCACCTGGTGCTTTTTCATTTTATTCTTGCAAGAGCTTAATTACACAAGTGATTCTACTAACTGTTAACACTGAAGCTGACAAAAGTAAAATATTGCATTGCAATCACCTTGCTCCACGAAGTTCAGCACACGCTTAAGGGATTTACAGGAGCAGGGCCTCCCTGCATTCATTTCCAGACAGAGGAACTCTTCCCCACACATCCATGGGTGCTTGACTGACTCCAGTTCAGCCGATTGCTTAGATCCACAGATGTGACTGAGAACAGCCAGGGACAGCAGCCACAAATACTCAGCCTCCACAATAACTCACTGCAGTCTCCCTTCTATCTGATAGCACCATGCAGAGCCCGATGTTTAAATGATCCCCCATGCAGCCCCATGGCCCTGACACAAGCAACCCCGGAGCCCCTGTTTGCTGTACCAAAATGCTTCTAAAGTGCTGGTACTCCTGCCTCCCTCCTGCTCCATTGCTCCCTGACCCATGTGGGGCTGAGCAGATATCCCTGGGGAAAAAAAAAAAACAACTCTATCATCTGAGACCTGTGGAGATGCTGCAGTGGAAAAAGGAAAACCCAGGAGATTTCTCCATGCCCAGCTTCTGCTCTCCTCCCTCGGGGCAGATTTTGGCTGCCTGCACACCCATTAAAGACCTGCACCATCAGCATGGGCTGAGATGCCCCTCAGATCACAGAGGTTTGTTCAGCCACCGAAAAGCTGGAGATAATCCAGAGCAAAAAGGCTTTGCAAATAATACTGGTAGTGCAAATACCACCTGGCTGAGCTCTGTGGCACTTAGTCAGGAACCCAAATCCTTCAGAGTGATTAACACATCTTGCCCTCAAGCACTTTGCCTTAGACTCTGCTTTTAAGATCATATTTGTTGAAATATTCCTCCTCACAAAGCACCTGGAGCTGAGATTCACTCCTGCACTGAATCTCTCATACTTGCTCCTGTTGCATGTGCTCTGTCACCTGGCAAGGCCGCTGAACTGTGCTGAGAAATTCATTTGCCACGTGCATCTGCCAAGCCACTCAGTGGCAGCACATAGCGTGACTTGCAGTGGTCAAGGTGCAAATTGATGGACACATCGATGAACAACCAAGTGGAGAAAGCAAGTTGGCCTCAAAAGCTTCTGAGTCCTCAACCATTAAAGTCAGAGATCTGCAGGCAGTTGCAGAAGATGGTCTGTGTTCTCCAGAGCCCTCTTCCAGCCACAGCACCAGCAGGCCCATTGACCTGGGAGCTGGCTTCGTTCAGGAACAAGAGTGTTAGATAACGCTTGGCTCAAAGAGCAAAACAAACAGGAAAGCCCTGGGAGCACCCTGCGAAGGTTTCCATAATCACGCATAGCAAACTGATCCCAGAAAGTGAGGCAGCCAGATTTAATAGCGGGCAGGATGGGTCGGACTCAGCCCTGCTGAACATCCAGGCACGTGCTCACATCCAGCAGGAATCCAGCAGGTGTTGGGATGGACTGCAGCCATGGGACAGTCAGCCTCCCTCACTCCCCTTTCACAGGCTCACGTGCTTCTCACCAGCAGAGGAATCTGTATGCAAAACATGCAAAACATGCACCTGATTAAATGCAGATGCAGCCAGTGTTACAGGGAATTGGGAGGAATAATAGATGGCTTTATCCATAAAAAAATGCAGTGGAACACAGAGCTCCACTGACAGCCCAAAGGCCACAAAAGTGGACAAACCAGAAAGACCCAAAGCGTGACAGCTTTATCACCACTGACAGCAGAGTAACCAATTTCTATCTTTACCTCATGCCGTGGTGGAGAGCACAGCTCTCTGCACATCCCTCAGTCGCTGCACTCTGCCTGGAACGGGACAGCCCTTGCAAACCAACACAGGGTGTCCGCAGGTATCTCTGCAACAGGCATCAGCTTTCTGATGTAAAGATGCATTCCTGACTCAGACCGTTAGTCTGGATTAACGCTGGCCAGCTAGGAACGAACTTCTCTGAGTCATCCCCCAGAGACATCGGGGCCCCTAAAATAGCAACAGCAACAGAGTACACAGAAAGACTGGAATATTTTCACCGCAGGCCGTGATCACAACGTTTTACATAAGTCTGGTGAACAGCCAACCAACACAAACTGAAATAAGGATTCACTGCAAGCCACAGCACCCCTTGTCAGAGCACCCGCTGCCCTGATGTGCCCCCAATAAGCCCCGTTTGGGCCTTGCTCATGAGCCCACGCTCCAGGAGCTCCATCCTGGGGAACCGCCTCCTTTTGGAGCTGTGCTGCAGGGGATGTGTTCCCAGGCTGCCCAAGGCTGGCACCGGACTTCAGCTGGCCCCTCACTTTTACGCAGTCGCTGCAGACCACCACGCTTTGTCCTCCTGGCTCTGGCGCTGCCGCCTGCTTTGCGCCCATCCTTGGGTTTTGGTTCAGCTTCCCCCGGCCGTACAGGCAGCCCGCGGTGCCCCACGTGGTTGCGGAGGGCTGCGCTGCTGGATATGGGCTGAGCTTCCTCCAAACCTCCCTGCTGCCCTCAACGCCGAACCCCATCCCTCCCACCCGAGGGCCGGTCCCTCGAACGACGCCGGGGCAGGCGGGTCCGGAGGCCGACCGGCTTCCCGTTACAGCCCTCAGCCCCGTCCCCCCGTGCCGGGCGCGCTCTTGAGGCCGCACCGCGGGGCGGGCGCAGCGGCTCGGCCCTCCCCTCGCCACGGACATGGCACCCGTTGCCATAGCGGCGCGGGCGCTGCTGCTCCTGGCCACGGTGGGTCCGGCGGCCGCGCTATGGCCGCAGCCACAGCTGCGGCGCTCCCCGCCGGCCCCCGCCCGCTGCCCGCTGCCCCTCGCCCGCTTCCGCTTCGCGCACGCCGCCGGCTCCGCCGTGGGGCCGGGCTGCGCCGTGCTGGACGAGGCCTTCCAGCGGTACCGGGCGCTGATCTTCGCCGCGGCGCGGCCCGCAGGTGAGGGGCGGCGGGGGTGTGCGCCTGGGGAGGGCTCGGTTCCCAAAGCCGAACCCCTCTCTCGCTGCTTCCGTAGAAGCCGTGCTGCCTTCTTACAGTGGAACCTTTAAACTCCGCACCGCAATAAAGCAAAGGTCTCTGTCCGAGAGCGTGGGGTGCGGCCGGAGCTCGGCTTCCCCGGCTGGACGGGTCTGCTGTGAACTCCGCGTGGAGCTCTGCTCCCGAGGGGCACGAGCTGACCCAGCGCTGCGGCAGAAAGCTCTGCCATTGCAGCTCGTTCCACTTCCACTCGTTGGTTGGTGTCCTGATCTGCTCATGGTGTCACCATGGCCTGTCCAGGACTCTCAGGGCACGTTGCCGGCTCAGGTGGAATCCCCTGTGTTGCTTTTTTCCCCCTGTGTTGCTTTTTTCTCCTTCTTTTCTTTAGTTCAGCTGGGGCTGACAGAAGTGTAGGCTGTGGTCTTGTGGCACAGCTGCTTGAACTGAGTCTCCCAGCAGAGGCTGGTGCTGCTTTGCTACATGCAGAGGAGTGCTTTGCTGTGCTCGTGTTTTTCAAATAGTAAAAGTGGAACCAAACCAGCCCTGCGAGGCACAGTGAGCACCAGCCTGCGTGCATTTCTTTCGGGGGGGTTTTCAGTCAGGTTGGTCTTTTTATCTCAGCTTTATCTCCAGATCTGACTTCAGCAGCATTGTGGTTTGCTTCCTTTTCTCGTGACAAAGCTGCTGCCTGTGTTGCAACTGCCCCATCGCCCCTCCGAAGTCTGAGCTCATCTTTTCTAGCAGCTCTTTGTGTGCCCTGTGCTCCATTCTTCAGAAAGAGCCGTAGATCTGCTCCCCAGTGCTTCACATGGATTGGAGCAGAGAGGGATGACAGCAGTGGAAGTTGCTTTGCTATGTTTCCAGTGCCTTGTGGCAAAAGTGAGTTTGAAACACTCAGAAGAAACACTTGGCTTATCTGATTTCTAAAAATTTATTATTTTAAGTAGCAAGTTAGAAAGACCACATAGTTTCTTAAATTTGCTGCTGTAATCACTCACGTTTTCCTGCTTCTGTCAGGGAAATTTGACCACCCCATGACTTGGAGCAATCTCTTCTGATCGCCACATCAGGCTCTCTGTGTATACTCAGTTTTCCATGTGCTCTCCTATATGTAAAGTTCACACTGCATGCTTAATTTTAGGGCCTTTTTCCTCTTTGCCTTCCTTTTTCCACAAGTGATTAGTGATAACAGGCAGTGGAAACCCTGACTGGAAAGAAATAGTTTCTATTAATAGAAATAGTATATGACAGAAACAGTTGTCTTCCTGTTCCAGAGAGCCACTATTCTGTCCAATTGAACAGACTAGCGCGCCGATTGAGCTGCAGAGAGCTAAGGAGACATCAGCATCTTCTCCTGAGCCATTTGCAGAGTGTGCCAGGGCAGCGCTGGTCTGTCAGCTGGACTTTCAGGAGAACAAGTTTAAGGTCCTCTTGAAAGCCTCCAAATGCTTCGGTGCCATCCTCTCTTATCTCTGTGGACCTGTGTAAGCTGATCGGCTTTGTAGCACCCCCTCCTGAGAGCCATGGAGAGCAGGAGGCACCGCTTCTGTGGGTTGTGACCTTAGAGTGTGCTTCTCAATGCATTTTTCTACCTCTCCTTGGGCAGGGAAAGCAATTACTGCCCCAGGTGGGATGATGCTAGGAACATCTGTTACCATATTGCACTTGAAGGGACAGTTGTTATGGTTTGAAAATACTTTGGAGATTTGTAGATGATGCCCTAGTTCTGCTGGGCTTCAGGCATGACAGCGGAAGTGGGGCTATGTGATCAACTCTCTGCCCTAAAGCAGCAGTGAAAACAAAATCTTCATCTGGGTAGAGGTGAGAGGGATGTGCTGGGAGGTGCTCATCCCAGGAAGGGGAAGATAGGTGTTCCTCATGTCTCCAGGCCTCTGAGTGGCCGTTCCTGGTGAGCCTCTGCCTTGCCAGGCGTAGAGAGCAGGTCTTGCTGTGCACCGTGTGCCAGCTCGCACGGCTGCAGGGTTGCCTTGGCTACCAGCTCGTCTGTAACTGAGGAAACCTCAGAATGGAGGAATATCTTGGAGCCATTTCTCCTCTGCACACAGAGGTTTCACCATTCTTTCCTTGAACCCCATTTGAGGTTCTGTGTTCTCTGTGTTTCCCCCTAATACTGGTGGTGCCACAGTTTCTCTGAAGCCTGCTCGGTAGCCATCTTATGATGAGGCTCACTCAAAACCAAGCATTCTGTTTTTCAGCCTGTCCCTGGCCATGCCACAGAGCTATAGATGTGAACTGGTGCTGCTGTGACCCACGTTGCTCCTGGACAGCTATGGGCAGACCCACTTATCTCAGGGTGGGTTTAACACCTCCTTTTGGAGTCAGGGCAACATTTCCCATGTGTGCCAATGAATATTCAGGACTCAAAAATGCTTTTTCAGATAGGGAAGGTCAGCCAGAGCTCTTGCTTCATCCTCCCTGGAGAAGACTTTAGTAATTGCAGCCAGTGTCCAGGAAGCCTTGGGAGCTGTTGCAGTACCAGCCTGATGTCCCCATTGCTGGCTGGGCTGGGAGGCTTGCAGCAGGGGAATTAATGCCTGTGGTCTGTGTGCCTTGCAGAGAACAAGCAGCCCTGGAGGACATCCTGCACTGAACTCCTCGTCTCAGTTGCCACACCAGGCTGCAATGGCTTTCCCAACCTGGACTCCAAGGAGAGCTGTAAGAATCAGGATGGGTGTGGGAAGAAGTGACTGGAACAGGAGTATGGGTATTTCTATGCTCCTTGGTTGCAAATAGCACCCTACAGCACTTAATCCTAATTCTGGAGAGGCAGGATCCTTGTTGTATGGTTGAGAAACTGGGACAGGGAGGGAGCAACTTAGCTGAGGGTGCTGATAAAGCAGTGGGAAAGGTTTTAAAAAAACCCACAGCCCTACCCCCAGATCAGTTCCCTTGGACCCAAGGATGCAGTTCCCCGCCAAAATCACTGCCTGATCCAGCTGCACCCCTGCAGCTAAGTTTTTGAGACCCTTAGCAGAATATGAACATAATGTCTGTGCCATCTGATCTGATGCTGTGTTTCAGATAAACTGAATATCTCAAGGGACTCCATGCTGCTCTATGCCGACGCTGTCTGGGGAGCTCTTAGAGGTGAGGTGTGCTTAGAGCTTTCTGCTGGTCACTCCCACCCTGCCTGCACATCAGGACATCTCTTTGTGCCTCTCTTTCCCCAAAGACTTATTTAATTGAGCTCTGTTCAGCTGCAAAAGTGACTGTGTGTGGTTCTCCCCCAGGCCTGGAGACATTCAGCCAGCTTGTTGGGAGAGACGAGAACGGCATGGTGAGTGGGTGGCTCACATGTGGGCTGGCCAACGTGGTTCCCGTGGCAATGCAAGTCTGCCTTGGCTCTTGAGGACAAGCTGTGCTTAAAGCCAATGAGTACTGCTAGCCCTGGGGATGAAGATGACTCTGATTGCCTCCTGCTGATGTCTGTGTTACCTGCAGACCTGCTCACTTCTTCCCTGTCTTCTCTCTTTGTGCAGTACTATATCAATGAGACAGAAATTGTAGACTTTCCCCGCTTCCCTCACCGAGGCCTGTTGCTGGACACCTCTCGCCACTACCTGCCTCTGAAAGCCATCTTGGAAACTCTGGTAGGAAACCCGTAGCGGGAGGCATGTGTGCTGCCCCACAGGGGGATGGAGCACTTTAATCAGGTGTCCCGCTGTGATAAATGAGCATCCCTGAGTTGCCTTCCTGTTTTCTTACTTTTTTATGTGTGTTGCTCATTTCTAAAGATCTGAGCATAGGTCATTGTAATCACATCTCGTCAAGGAAGAGCTTGCCAAACCTAGGCGTTTGGAGAATGCATGCTTACTTGTGTCTAGATGAAGCAACAGGCTGGGGTGAGATAGCTGTGTGACCTCAATTCTTTGTACACAGATGTGAATCACAGAAAAATGCTTCTGTGCCGTTGGTCCTCCCTAGTGCAGTATCTGTATCTGCTCCTGGTGTCACTCACAGCTCCTTTCCTACATGGGAGGAGGAAACCCTGAGGTATCTCAGATTCCTGTGGCCCAGCTTACTTTGTGAGGCAGGGGAGAGCACTGCCTTTTGCTTAGTTGCGTTAGATGAAAGTGGGCAGAGGTCCTGCATCTGTCCCAGCCAGAATTAAACTTCCAAATCTCAACCCTTGGCTCTAATATAAGGAGAATAGGGATTTTATTGTGATTGGAACCACTAATGGCCCTTCTCAGCTCTTTGTGATGCCAATGTGTTTGACAGATGTCTGCATCACTCTTAGGTCCTTGGGAGCATTTGGGGATATTATGTTGTCCAGGACCTGAAATCATTAGATTCCTCAAGCTGACAGACCTTTCAAAAGGAGCAGGGTGTGCTTACCCATGTTTTTGCTTCTTCCCAGGATGTCATGGCTTACAACAAGTTAAATGTGTTCCACTGGCACATTGTGGACGATCCATCTTTCCCGTATGAGAGCTTTACTTTCCCGGAGCTTAGCAAGCAGGTAACCCATGCTGATGGTTGTGCAGCTCCCCAGACAGCCCAGGGAATGCTGGGTGCTCCTCGAGCTTGTGAGCGAGATGCTGTAATTCCTCATGTTCCTCCAGGGAGCCTTCAATGCCATGACCCATGTGTACACAGCCAGTGATGTGCAGACAGTAATCGAGTATGCTCGTCTCCGTGGCATCAGAGTCATTGCAGAGTTTGACACACCTGGGCACACGCTTTCCTGGGGTCCAGGTGAGGAACAGACCCTCACCAGAGGGCTTGGGTGTGAGGAGGGCTGCAATTGTACCTGGTGGAGGAAGGATCTCTGTGATCTGGATCACAAAAGCATGGCATCCCATAAGCTGTCTCTGGGGAAAAGCAAGCCATCAGCTGGGATGTAGGACATAAGAGATATGGCCACATTTAGGTCCCTTCTCACTCTGCTGATTTTGTTATGACCCAGGTGCTCCAGGCCTCCTGACTCCCTGCTATTTGGGCAAGGATCCTTCTGGGACCTATGGGCCCATCAACCCCATCTTCAACACCACCTACCAGTTTGTGACCAGTTTGTTTCAGGAGATCAGCGCAGTGTTCCCAGACTACTTCATTCACCTCGGTGGCGATGAGGTGGATTTCACGTGCTGGTGAGTGATTCCTGCAGAGATGGGTCAGGCTGGAGACTGGGGTCCGAAACAGTGCTCTGCTGCCTGGGCACTTAGCACGTGCTTGTGGATGGGTACCTTAAGGAGCAGCCACCTAAGTGTCAGGAAGAGGCAGGGGGAAAGTAGAGGGTTATTCATGTGCAGGAGAGAGGAAGAGGGAAGGAAATCTAGCACAGAATCCTCACATCCCAGCCAGTTGCTTCTTGGCCATGATCACCTATAAATCTTAGGTGTTCTGCTCCCCTGGGCTCTGAAAGAGGCTCTGTGAGTTGGTGCTTGGGGTTTCTATTCTTTTCTCTCTGGTACACAGGAAGTCCAATCCAGAAATTCTTGTCTTCATGAAGAAGATGGGCTTTGGTGAAGACTACACAAAATTAGAATCATACTACATCCAGAGGTAACGGTGACTGCATCCTGAGCCAGCATCTGCAATATGTGACAGACACAAATGTCTTCTACTGTCCCTTTGGTCCTACCTTTTTGTCCCTAAAGAGAGAACCTAGTTATGTTTTTTTTTTCAGAAGACTGACTGCAAAAAGGCCTGGAGTTGAGGGAGAAAAAAATTCTGTGAGGGGGATGTTAGCTGTATCAGTGAACCAGAAAAGAGGGATGGGAGGACCCTAAACTCAGTATTGTTTCCATTCCAGACTCCTGGACATCGTCTCTTCCCTTGGCAAGGGCTATATGGTGTGGCAGGAGGTGTTTGACAATGGAGTGAAGGTGAGAGCTGCTCACGTGCCCTAGCACAGTTCCCTAACACTTGGGTGAACGGTGTCAGCACCCATGCCAAACTCACTCAAGTGAGTCTTGACCTGGCTCAAAATCCAGTTTCCTTGGAGGGAATGAGTCAGGACAGGGGTGCAGGTGTAGTTCTAGTTTTCACTGTTATAACTGGTCGTGGCTTCTTTCTGGCGCAGAACCCTGCTCACCAGAGTGGTGTTCGGAGCTGGGATGGCTTGGGGGAACCCTTCTTGTGAGGGGAGGTGGTGTTCTGTTGCTGCACTGATGCTGTACACAGGCTTTATGTGTGTTTGTGGGGCCAGGTGAGGCCAGACACGATCATCCACGTGTGGAAGAACAATCTGCCGTATGCGGAGGAGATGGCAAATGTCACCAAGGCTGGCTACAGGGCTCTGCTCTCTGCCCCCTGGTACCTCAACCGCATCTCCTACGGGCAAGACTGGATGGCAGCCTACCAGGTGGAGCCCTTAAAGTTCAGTGGTGCGTTCCTTATGTCACATCCCCTCTTGGCTGCTGACTGCTCACTCAGAGGTGGTGCAAGGGCTGGCCTTTTTGGTCATTTGTTCTTGCTGATGGTGCGAAGGTGCTCGAATCAGTGTGCCGCTGGCTCCTGGGCTTTGTGCTGTTCCCTCGCTGCAGGCAGGAAACACCTCAGCTCTTTCCCTGCCTAGAGTTTGAGGCAGGGGCTTCCAGAAGGACAAATGACAGCCTCTACAGCTCAGCCAGCCCTCGGTTGTCACCATCCCCACCCTGGGCAGGGCAGGAAGATGCAGTTGTCTTACAACACCTGATCACCTGAATGCTGTGTCCTCTGGCAGGCAGCACTAAGCAGAAGGATCTGGTGATTGGCGGGGAGGCGTGCATGTGGGGTGAATACGTGGACGTCACCAACTTGACCCCCAGGCTCTGGTAAGAGATGTTTAGAGAGGGTTAGCTCGACTCCTTCAGCACAGCATGATGTGCACCCACTGCTGCTGGTTTGGTCTCAAGGTGCTCTGTCCTCTGGTAGCATATTTGTGTAGTAACAACTTCTCTGAGGCTTAAATGAGATTCTGTGGCTGTCTGCAAGAATGAAACGCACTCCTGTGCCACCTGCCACTGCTACCAGCTTGCGTTTAATGCTGGTCTCTGTCCTGTCATCTGCTCTGCACCTGACTAGGCATGTATCTTTTGATGTACAGCAGCCATGTGCTTTTATGTGTCAAAGGACTTTGGTCAGGGAGATGTCTGGGAGCTCAGCGCTGCAGGAGAAGCTTTCTCTGACCTACCTGCCTTTGTCCCATGTTCCTTCAAGGCCGAGAGCCGGGGCTGTGGCTGAGAGACTTTGGAGTAATGCAACAGTGAGGAACCTGCAAGATGCTTATGTGCGGTTGGCTGACTTCCGCTGCGAGCTTCTCAGGTAGCCGTCCCTCCTTGCTGGGCCTTGCCAACTTGTGGTGTCAGTGCAAGGGACAGCCTCAGGGGATCAGCTCTGCATGGGTAGAACAGTGAGGGGGATTGAAAATGAAGTAAGCTTTCGATTGTGTGAAAAGACCCTTGGAGGTCCACGGCATTTCTTGTGCCTGCGTGTGGGCAAAGCTTGCTGTGTGCTGTGCTGGAAGAGGGCCCGTGCAGTGGCAAGAGTTTTGTGCTGAGGAAATGGCATCCGTCAGCTCCTGCCACCCCCCTGCTGAACAGCACCAGGCACTGTTCAGTGTCCCCTGTGTAATGTTGTCCCTCTGCTCCACTTCCAGGCGGGGTGTCCAGGCAGAGCCTCTCTTC